GGATTAACTGGTGGAAACCAGCTCAGGAAACCACCAGGTGCCTTGGCATTCTACAGCAAAGAAGTCTCCCGGTACCTCAACAGAAATAAGGGAGGCAGCACTGCAAGGGGCCCCAGGCAGATAAACACCTGGCAGCACTTATCTAAAAGGAGCTAAACAAAGCTAAAGGAAAGGAAAAGCAGGCAATCTAGATTTGCCTGAAAGTCCCAGTCTTGCTAATTCCAGCCCAACACCAGATAAGCTGCCAGAACCCTACAGCCTCCAATTGCCAACATAAGAGGCCCCAGCTCCCAAAGCCAGTGACCAAGACCTAGGCTCCCAATACAAGAAGCTTGGGTCAGTGCTCTCTGCTCCCCAGCAGGAGAGCTTAATCTCTTTAAAGGCCAGGGAATAAAGAAACACTATGAGTAAAAAGAAACGTACGATAGACTCGTATTATGAGAAGAGTGAAGATCAAGACAGGAGTTCTGAAGAGGACAACACTGTCATCAAACCCACATCTGCAACATCAAAAGGGAATATGAACTGGTCTGAAGCCCAAAAAGCCTTCTTAGAAGAACTCAAGAAGGATTTTAAAAGTCAAATGAGAGAGGTAGAGGAGTCCTTTAAAAGTACAATTGGCCAATTGGAAAAAAGGTATAATAAAGAAAATAAATCCCTTAAAAATACAATTGACCAATTGGAGAAGAAAGTACAAAATCTAACAGAAAAAACCAATATGTTAAAAATTCAAATTGAACAAATGCAAACTAATAACTCTATGAGAGAGCAAGAATCAGTCAAACAGAAACAAAAAAAATGAAAAAATAGATGAAAATGTAAAATACCTCATGGGTAAAATAGCTGACCTGGAAAATCAATCAAGGAGAGACAATTTAAAAATTATAGACCTACCTGAAAGTCATGATGAAAAAAAGAGCCTGGACAATATCCTTCAGGAAATCATAAAGGAAAACTGCCCTGAAGTCCTAGAACCTGAAGGTAAAATAACTATAGAAAGAATCCATCACTCCCCACCTCAAAGAGATCCCAAATTGAAAATGCCAAGGAATATAATAGCTAAATTCCAAAATTACCAGATTAAAGAGAAATTACTGCAAGCAGCCAGAAAGAAACAATTTAAATATCATGGAAGCACAGTCAGGATTACACAGGACCTTGCAGCCTCTACATTAAAAGACCATAGGGCATGGAACATGATATTCTGTAAGGCAAAGGAGCTTGGAATGCAGCCAAGGATTAACTATCCAGTGAAAATGAGCATGATTTTTTCAGGGAAGGAGATGGATATTCAACAAAATAGGGGTCTTCCAAATGTTCCTGATAAAAAGACCAGAGCTCAACAAAAAGTTTGATCTTCAAGTACAAGATTCAAGAGAGACATAAAAAGGTAAATGGGACAGAAAGATACAATATGTTGTTAATAAGGGCAAAATGTTTACACATCCCTACAAGGGAAGATGACACTTGCAACTCTTGAGAACTGTATTGTTATTATACCATGTTAAAGGAGTATACACAAAGGGGGTGGATATAAGTTGACTTTGACATAATGATAAAAAAAAATTTAATCAAGTGGGTTAAATGGGTCCAAGTAAGTGGATTGGTCTGATCTAAGAAAATACACTGAGAAAGGAGGAGGCAGACAAGGGTAAATTACATTACAGGAAAAGACACAAAAACCTATTAGAGCAGAAGTAAAGAAGGGAGGGGGATGAGCATTGTTTGAACCTTACTCTCATCAGATTTGGCTCAAGAAGGGAATAACATAATCAGTTAGGTATAGAAATCTAACTTGCACCATAGGTAGTAGGAGGGGAAAGGGGAAAGAAAAGGGAGGGGGGATAGAAGGGAGGGAAGAAGCAGTAAGGGTAAAGGGGAAGAAAAGGGAAAGGGATAATAGAAGGGAGGTGGAACTGAAGGAGGCGCTGGTCAAAAGCAAAACATTAGTGAGGGGAGGAAAGGAGAAAGGAGAAAGAAAGCATAAATGGGGAAAAAAGGATGGAGAAAAAGACACAGATAGTAATCATAACTGTGAATGTAAATGGGATGAACTCTCCTATAAAACGGGAGCATATAGCAGATTGGATTAAAAACCATAATCCTACAATATGTAGGAATATGTTTACAGGAAACACATTTGAAAAAGAGTGACATATACAGGGTAAAGGTAAAAGGCTGGAGCAAAATATATTATGCTTCAGCTGAAGTAAAAAAAGCAGGGGTAGCAATCCTGATCTCAGACAAAGCAAAAGCAAAAATAGCTCTTATCAAAAGAGATAAGGAAGGAAACTATGTCCTGCTAAAAGGCACCATAGACAATGAAGTAATATCATTACTAAACATATATGCACCAAATGGTATAGCATCCAGATTCTTAGAGGAGAAGTTCAGGGAGTAACAGGAAGAAATAGACAGCAAAACTATACTAGTGGGGGACCTCAACCTCCCCCTCTCTGAACTAGATAAATCTAACCACAAAATAAACAAGAAAGAAGTTAAGGAGGTGAATAGAACATTAGAAAAGTTAGGTATGATAGACCTGTGGAGAAAACTGAATGGGGATAGAAAGGAATATACTTTTTTCTCAGTGGTACATGGCACATAAACAAAAATTGACCATGTACTAGGGCATAAAAACCTCACAATACATTGCAGAAAGGCAGAAATAGTAAATGCATCCTTTTCAGATCATGATGCAATAAAAATTATATGTAATAAAGGACCATGGAAAGATAGACTAAAAAATAATTGGAAACTAAGTAATCTAATCCTAAAAAACGATTGGGTCAAAGAACAAATCATAGAAACAATCAATAATTTCATTCAAGAGAATGACAATAATGAGACAACATACCAAAACTTATGGGATGCAGCAAAAGCAGTTCTTAGGAGAAGTTTTATATCTCTAAATGCTTACATAAATAAAATAGAAAAAGAGAAAAATGATCACTAAAACAGACAGGGCTCAAACTGAATAGGATAAAGTCTAACAAATCTTACAATTTTTACCCAGGAGCAAATACATTGCCTGTGGTATCATGTGCCTGAGTACATACGTACCTGTCCCACAGCACTGAGAGGTAGGGTCAATAGGATCATTGCCAAGATTCTCCTTTTTTTGCTAGAATTCTTTGGCCATTGCTAAAGCTGTCTGGGGGGAGGGGAAGGGAGAAAGGGAGGTGATGGTGGTGATGGTGAATATCTTTATTGAAAAAATAAGATAACTAGATATCATAAAATATTAATACACCCACTCATCCAGGATTTATATTAAACAGTCACTTTGTTCTTCCTCTTAGGCCACATCTTACCCAACTAGTCATCTTGGGGATTGGATCAGAGGCCACAGTTGGAAACCAATAGAGAGCACATGTATCAAAAATAGACATAGGACTATAGACCTAGATCTAGACCTCCTGATTTTTACAGATAAAGATAATGAGGCCAAAGGAGTTAAGTGACTTCCCAAGGGTGCCCAAAGTAATAAGCATCAGAGGCAGGATTTGAACCTAGATCCTCTGTACTACAACTGAATTTGGATATATTTATGTGTTCAGTCTTGGCCAACTCTTGGTGACCTATTTGGGGTTTCCTTGACAAAGATACTGGAGTGGTTTGCCATTTCCTTCTCCAGGCCATTTGACAGATGAGGAAACTGAGGCAGAAAGCGTTAAATGATTTGCCCAGGGTCACACAGCTAGTAAGTGTCTGAGGACAAATTTGAACTCAGGAAGAGGAGTCTTTCCCAACTCCCGGCTAAGAGCCCTATCCACTGTACTACCTAGCTGCCCATTATATTTGTACTTCCAATCCTTTCACTTATTTTTCCAATATTCCATCAAACTAAGTTGGGGTTAGTAAGTAGTATTTTAGTATTAATATTGCTAAATTAGTATTGCTCCATTATGTCGTTGAGCAGCTTCCTTCCTTGTATACATGGAAATGCAAAATAGTCTACTCTAACTTCCAACTTCAAGATGTTCTTTCACTTCCTCTAAGACACTCCTACTTGGTTTTGAAACAAGAACTTAGTGCAGAGTTATTTAGGAGTCATTGTAGAACTGACCTCTTGAATTGCATGTTGCCACTGTAAGTGACTTTCCTTGCCAGATGTAATATTTGAGATTGCAAGGCATGTTTGAGTATAATAGTACAAGGTCAGTTGTGGGTGTAAATATGGCTTTATTGTTTATGCAGCCAATTGACACTTCTACAAAGATCTTATTTGCTCTCCATTGCTATAGCTACTATTAATATATGAGATAGATATGTACTATGTTGGTAGGTGCCATATTGGTAACTAACTCTGTTGACCGCCTCACCTACCACTGCTATACGTAAAGAATTTTAGGGCGAGGGCATTAGATGCGGGATGAGACACGTGTATCAAGAAAGACTTCATGCAAAAGGAGATGCCTAAACTCAGTCTTGAAGGAAACAGGATTCACTCCACGAACTGCCACAGGCAGCGCAAAAGCAATGAGACGAAATGAAGTTTCACGTGTGTAACAACAAGAGGGCTATACTCTCTGGACTTTAAGACTGTGAGAAGGGTAGCAATGTATAATAAAAATTATATAATAAAAGCCTGTATAGAAATTTAGGGGCATGACGCGGAGGGGAGTTATTATGACGAAAGAATGATACCGCAAAAACCAGTTCAGGTGATTGGCAGCTGTTAGTCTAGGGGGGAAGGGGGTGAATTGGTAGAGTGTTTGATGCCTTCCTGCCTTGGGCAATGTTGATTATTGCGGCCCGGGGGGTCTGCCGTACCAGCCTGCTTGGATTTCTCACTTTCCAAAATATTATTGAGCCCTGTGTCCACTAAATAAGCTTAACCTTCAGTCTGATTAAGGAGGAAACTGAGGGGCGTGTTCCTCCACCCATCGTTGGTGTTGGACAGGGGAGGTCCCACCCCATTCGAAAGAGACCCACCCCACCCACAAGAAAGGTATAAGGACGCAGGCCACTTGAGGGGCTCTGCGAGTTCTTGCTACTCCACTAGCCAAGACCGCGGCAACTTGCCCCACTCGGACCCAGTGAATAGCCAGTGTACAGATACCTGAGAGATGGTACCCGCCAGAGGCAAAAACGTGAAGAAGGTGAGTCCCGCGGCGCCAGAGCGCTCGCTCTAACTCAGTCTCGGTCCATCTCTCTGGCTGTCTAATCCGTGTCTGTAATTTTGCCTTCTCTCTCGCTCCCACAAAGTGTCCCCACCAGCCTATCTGTCTCTCTGGCTTTGGGCTGTAGGTGCCCCATATTCAGCTACTACCCCTCCACATCGCCCCATTTCCATCTCCTCGAATCCTGAGGCTCCGAAATCTTTCCAGAAGTCGAGGGCTGGGGAGGGACTGGGAAGGGACGCGGGTGGAGGGGCTGTATTGTAACTCCTTGAGAGCAGAAGGATGTACTCGGCTCTGGCCCGTTTCGAGGTTTCGCTCCGGGAAGCAGAACAGGGAAGAAGGTAGGTCTCTGGTTGTGGATTCGAGGACAGCCCAAGAGGTAAGGTGTTGGTTGCTGATGCCGGGAGAAACCAAAGGCCTGGGGCTAGTCTGAAGGGGGATGTGGGAGGCAGAACTGGAAGACGATCTAAATAGGTTCACCTCTAAGGTAGGCGAAATGTCTTACTGAAACTTTCTCAAGCTAGCCAGTAAGGTGAATAGTGTCAGAATTGAAGCTCAGAAACTGGTTCTGTCCAGCCTGCTGAAGAGATCACGTCTCAGTGGGGGGAAAAAAAGAAAGTAAGAAAGAAAAAAGAGCCGTTCCCTGGACAGCAGTCCCTTAAAGAAGAGGCTTCCCTCCTCTGGTCTTCCGTTTACTGCCTGTAAAACCAAGAGGAAGACTAGAAGTTCCCCGGGGCTCCACCGGCGCTGATATTTGATGTACTTTTTGAGATCTTGTAAGCTCAGAAGTTGGATTTCCCTGTCTTCGCGTTCAGATTGGCTACGGAGCTCGCCAGAGAGCTTGGGTAGCGGTGATGTTGGCGATGGTGTTTAGGGAGAAGCTGAAGGTGGTTGCAGCGCAGCTCAGGGAGTCCCATGACCTCCTTCCATCCACCTGATACCTTGTGGCTGTGTCTGAGGCACATCGATTTCTTGGGGGGAATAGGTAACAATAGGAAGCAAGAGAAGGGAAAGGGGTTGATATGCTATAGTTTCTTAATCAGAAGATACTTTCCTAAAAATCGTAAACCTATGTGTAGCTACATTTTTTTTTCAGCAATCTAGATCACACTTTACAAAAATAATCTATAGAAGGCAAGTGCATGTGGAAATTGCTTTCAGGAAATTTGATAAAACTCCACTTTGTTCTCTTACTCCTGCTTTATTTTTAGGGAATTCTGCAACGTTTGGATTCTGGAGAGATTGTAATTGGGGATGGGGGATTTGTCTTTGCCCTGGAGAAAAGAGGATATGTGAAAGCTGGGCCCTGGACTCCAGAAGCTGCAGTTGAACATCCAGAAGCTGGTCAGTTAATGGGAAGGGCTATATAGTGTTATATGTCTTTACCATTAAGATTCTGTCCTGTGTAGAACATCCATCCCTTACTAATAGCTAAGTAAGCCTCTTTATTTTTCCTGTCCATTAAAAGGGAGGGGAAATGTCTGCCATGCACTACAGTATACTGGGTACTGTAAAAAGAAAATACCACGGATCCCATCTTTTCCCTAGCTTCTCTAGAAATGTCCAGATTGGATGTGACAAGAGGTGCCCTTGTCTTTTCTGCTCAGTTTCATCTAGAGAGGTCTGGACTTGGAGCCAAAAAGATCTGAGTTCCAAATCCAGACTCACACTAGCTGTTTAACCTTGGGCAGTTTCTTTATCTGTAAAATGGGGGTAATAATAACATCTACCTCCCAGAGTTGTTGTGAGAACCAAATGGTATTTGTAAAATGTTTTGCAAAGTATAAACTGCAATGCAAATGTTAGCCATTATTATTGTTATTGTTATAAGAAGGAATTTAGTGGCTTAGAAAAGAGAAGAGTGAGAGCGGCCAAGGAAAAGTGAAGAAATTCCAAAGCAACAATGAAACAAAACTCTTCAGCTGGCGTTTTTAAACTAATTAATATTTCTTAATATTTTATAACTAATTAACACCACTTCTAAACTAATTAACACTTCTCAGTTAATGAAAGAACTTTCCCTCTTGTTTAGTCACCCCATAAATTCCCACTTTTATTTAACTAACTCTATTCAAGGGAGCCTGAATGTCAGACAAAGCATTTTGTATTTGTTCCTGGAGGCAATAGAGAACCACTGGAGTTTATTGTGTAAGGGAGGTAACATGATAGGACCTATGCTTTAGGAAAATTACTTTAGTGGCTGCGTGGAGGATTGACTGAAGTAGAGAGAGACTGAAGTAGAGAGAGAGGCAGGCAGATACACCAGCAGGCTATTGCAATAATCCAGCCAAGAGATGATGAAGGCCTGCACTAGAGTGGTGGCAATGTCAGAGGAGAGAAGGGGGAATATCTGAGAAATATTTCAAAGGCAAAATCAAAAGGTCTTGGCAACAGCTTGGATATGGAGAGATAGTAATGAATCCAGGATAACTCCTGGGGATTGGGAGGATGGTGTTGTCTTCTACAGTAATCGAAAGATAGGAGAAAGGGAGATTTTAGGGAGAAAGATAATGAGTTCTGGTTTTTGGACATACTGGAGTTTAACATGTCTGCTGCACATCCAGTCTGAGATATCTGAAAGGTAATTGGAGATGACAGATTGGAGGTCAGCTGACAGATTTGGGCAGGAAAGGTAGATTTGAGAATCATCAGCATAAAGATGGTAATTAAATCCATGTGAGCTAATGAGATCATGAAGTGAAGTAGTATAGAGCGAGAAGAGAAAAGGGCCCAGGACAGGACTCTGAGGGACACTTATGATTACAGGTCATGATCTGAATGAGGATCCAGCAAAGGAAACTGAGGAGTGGTCAGATAGGTAGGAAGAGAAAAAAGTGATCTCCAGAAAACCCAGAGAGAAGAGAATATCAAGGAAGAGTGAGCAACAGTGTCAAAGACTGCAGAAAGTCAAAGAAAACGAGGATTGAGAAAAGGCTGTTGGATTTGGCAACTAAGAGATCATTTGTAATTTTGGAGAAAATCGTTTCAGTGGAATGATAGGGTTGGAAGTCAGGTTAGAAGGGGTTAAGAAGAGAGTGAGAGGGGAGAAAGTGGAGAGACACCTTTTGTAGATGACCTTTTTGAAGAGTTCAGCTACAAAGGACAGAAGAGAAATAAATGAGAGTGGTGATGGGACCAAGTGAGAGTTTTTTTTTTTTTCTAGAATAGGGGAGATATGGGCATGTTTGTAGGCAGAAGGGAAAGAGCCAGGAGAGAGAGAGAGAGAGATGGAAAATAAGTGAGAAGGTGGGGATGACAATTTGTTGAAGGAGACAGATGAAATGGAATCTCTTGAACAAGTAGAGAAGTTAGCCTTGGTAAAGAGGTAACAGGGGTAAGGAGTAAGTAACTGGGGTGAAGAAGGGAAAAGGTGGTAAAAGTCATCTGAGTGATAGGAGATAAGGAAGAAGAGAGGAGTTCACCATGAATGGCCTCAATTTTTCCTGTAAAATATGAGACAAAGTTCTCAGCTGAGAGAGAAGGGAGGAGGAGAATCCATGGCAGTTGTGAGGAAGGATGAAAAGGTTTGGTAGAGCAGCTGTGGAGAATAGGATAGTGAGTTGATAAGGGAGGTATAACAGCAGTGAGTGCCCAGCCCAAGGCTGTGTAACGTAAATTTGTAGTGGACCCTGTCAGAAGGTTGCATGATTTTTTCTTCACCTTTATTCAGCAGCACGTGTATAGACATAAAGACAATGAATGGTGGAAGTAATCCAAAGCCAAGGCTTAGCTAGGCTTAACCAGTGATATGATAAGGGGGGGCAAGGAATTCAAGAGAGGAGGACAGTGTGGAGTTGAATTGTTTTCACCAATGGATCAAGATGGGGAGAAGAGGAGAGAGTGACTATTGCAGAGGAAATAACTTGGGAGAGAATTGAGGGGTCAAAAGGTTAGAAGTCCTGGTGAGGATGAAGAGTAGGCTTGCCTAAGGGAGGGAAGACAGTGAGTAGTGAAAGGCCAATAAGATATTGTAGTACAGGCAATGAACTATGGTTAAGAAATATCTGTTAAAACAAGAATTTCTCACAGATTAGCATACTCTTGCTTACTTAGCAAACTGCATGAGTCCTGTTAAAACCAAGATGGAGTTACTTTGGCTTAAAGTTAAGTAAACTCCATTTTAGTTATGAATATATCTATGTGGAGATTATTTCAGTTCTTCAACATCTGCTCTTTGGCTTCATTTGAGATACTCTTTTCTGTGACTTAATAGCAACTAGTAGTTTTGACAATCCATAGATTTAATCAACATTCTGCTAGAATACAAAATGGTGCAAATTCCACTACACCATCATTTAGTTCTGCATTCTGTTGCCAGCAATAGATGACTGCATGCATTAGGATATGAGTGAGACTTACAGGTGCATTGCTATGTGGTATTCTCCTTGTGGTTCATATTGTTCTTAATGGTGATGTGGTGGTTGTATGGTGACATGGTTAGGCATGTTCCATTGTCTTAAAATAAATTTGCTGATTCTTTTAATTTATACAGGGCTTGCCTTTGTAAACTCAGTGACTTCAGTAGGATTTTAGAATAATAATAAAAAATTAGTTTTAAATAAAATTATTTCATGATCAATAAAAGTATTTATTATTTAAATTATTATTTTAGCATAATGACAAAAATTTAGAGCAATAAAAGCCTCAGAAATGGGACAGAGGTTTCTAAGTTGCTTTTTTACCTTATTATTGGGTATGATAATAAGTCTCCTGGACTAATTATACACCAGATAAAACATTTGCATTTCCCCACATTCGTTCTTGAATTCTTAAAAATCCCAAATTGTCATTTTTGTTCTTACCCCGTGGGAAAGGGTAAGTAATATGGAATCTCTTACATCTGGCATTTCATATACAAATTATAAAGCTGAAGAATGTTAGCTCTTCGGATGTAAGGCTATAGTAAAAAGGTATTTTTGAAGAGTGGTGCAGCCTTGTGTTCTTAGTATTTAGAGCATGTTCCTTATTCCAGGGGGTCAGGCAGCAGCAGAACAAGCAGACTATTTTTCATAAGTTTCCCCGCACCACCTCACTGTCACTGCTCCTGTTCATGGTCATGTGTCCCCCTACCATCCACATAAATACTTGTAGCTTGCACTATTCATTTGCCATTTTTAAACCAGTGCCAACAGCCTTGTGAAACATCTGCCTGGCACTTTACCATTGGTGTAGAACTTTGAGAACTTTTTGATTCTTTAAGGAAAGTTAAAAATGAAAAGGTTACCCTCTGATTTTAATGGTACAACAGAATAGTGGCCCACAGGATTTTAGAGTAAATGCTTCCAGAGTCCTGTGATGAAGAAATACAGACTGGTAGGACTGGAAAACACTTTGGGAGGCCAGGAAACCTCCTTCTGCTTTCAGGTATTCTCGAAGTTGAGGTTTTTACTTCTAATGGAAATAGCAAGGTATAGTTTGTAAGTATACAAACTTGGAATCAGGTGAAGTAGGTTCTATAAAATTGTTACATATTATGTTGTTATTGTTGTTCAGTCTTTTTTTTCAATCATGTCTGATTCTTCTGTGACGCCCCTTGGGGTTATCTTGGCAAAGATACTGGAGTGGTTTTCCATTTTCATCTCCAGCTCATTTGACAGATGAGGAAACTGAGGCAAACAGAGTTAAGTGACTTGTCCAGGGTCACGCAGCCAGTAAGTGTCTGAGGCTAGATTAGAACTCAGGAAGATGACTCTTCCTGATTCCAGGACTGGCACTCTACCCCCTGTTTTCTCATTTGTAAAAGAGGGAGAATGTCACCTACAGTAATAACCTCACAAACTGTGGAAATCAAATGAACTATGTGGAAATCACTTTCTAAACTATAAATGCTAAAAACATGTCAGTGGTTCTATCTGGTATTGCTGGCACATTAATAAATTCTGTGCCTCAAGTTATAGATGACTAAGTGATTAGTAAACAGTTGCTGAAAATGATTACACTTCATTTCCATTTACAGTGAGACAGCTTCATCGGGAATTCCTTCGAGCAGGCTCAAATGTCATGCAAACCTTCACCTTCTATGCTAGTGAGGACAAACTGGAGAACAGAGGGAATTATGTTGCAGAGAAAATATCTGTAAGTAAGATCACTTTGTGGAATTATTGAAATGATGTGGTGTCTCTGGAATTCTCATGACACATTGGTGCTCTTCAGAACTCTTGAGAATGACAGAAATGATGTGTGTCTGTGTCTGTGAATAAATAACTCTGTAACTATGGAGTGCCTCCAAGTAAGAGTCAGTAAATGAGAGAAGTAGATTAAAGATTAAATGAAACCATGCCAATTGATGGCATCTGTCTCAGTACCTATTTTATGTAAGGTACCCTTGCCCTACGTTAAACTCTAAAAGAAATGTCTGCCATTATCAAAGGAGCGTAAATTTAAATGAACATTATTCCTCATCATTAACATACTAGGTTTTATGTTTATTTGTTCAAGAAATTACTATTTTAAAGTAGGAGAGTGGCAGCTAGGTGGCTCCCTGGATAGCACTGCTAAAGTCAGGAAGACATGAATTCTAATCCAACCAGAGACCATTCCCAGCTGTGTGATCCTGGGCAACCTCCATTTGCCTCATTTTTCTTAACTGTAAAATGAAATAATAATACCTTTTGCTTCCTGAAATTACAGTTTTATTTTAAATTCCCAATGGAAATTCAATAATAATACATGCTTTCTCATTTTAGGGGCAGAAAGTGAATGAAGCTGCTTGTGACATTGCCCTGGAGGTGGCTGCAGAAGGAGATGCTTTGGTTGCTGGTGGAGTTAGTCAGACACCATCATACCTGAGTTGCAAGAGTGAAACTGAAGTGAAAAAAATTTTTCGTCAACAGTTAGAAGTCTTTATGAAAAAGAAGGTGGACTTTCTGATTGCCGAGGTAAATACAGTCCCCAGATAGAGCCCACTAGCTCACTTGACTGGAAGGACTTGAAAAGACTTGGGGGTCCAGGAGATCTCCCTCTGCTTCCAAGTATTCTAGAAGTTGAGGTTTTTACTTCCAATGGGAATAGTAAGGTCACTTAGACTGACTCTTTTGCTTTCTGCAGGATGCTTATAGCTGTTTCAAAGATGCACGCATCAGGGCCAATAATTCCTATTGCTTCTGCAATCCTCTGTGAGGCTTCATTAGAAAGATCTAGTACCAAGGTTCTGAACATTTTTGATGCCATGGACCCCTTGTGCAGTCGAGTGAAAACCTATGGACCCCTTCTCAGAATGTTTTTAAATGCATAAAATAAAATACATAAATTACAAAGGAAACCAATTATGTTGAATATAGTTACCAAAGTTCCTGAACCCCAAGTTAAGAAGCCCTGACCTAGCAGAACTAAAATCTGGGAAGTAGCAGACTTTTACAGTTTTTCTCTTGGGCAATAAGGGGAACATTGAATTTGAACCATATTTTCGTTCAGTATTTTGAACATGTTGAAGAAGCTGTGTGGGCAGTTGAAGCGTTAAAAGAATCTGGAATGCCAGTGGCCGTTACCATGTGCATTGGCCCAGAAGGAGACCTGCATGGTGTGGCACCTGGAGAATGTGCGGTGCGACTGGTTAAAGCAGGTGAGCAGCAGCAATGTGTGCCTGAGCACTCAAGCACTTTGACAGGCCTTTTGATGTCATGAAAAAATGCACTTGCATGGATCAAACACTATACTGGCTTTAGCTGCTAGGAAAACCAGACCTTAAGAACCTCTCTCTTCAGGAACTCACAATGCTATTAAGAGGCAAACTTAGTTGCAATTAGGAGGTGGAAACCAGTGCCAGTGATAGAAACACTCCTAATGAATCACTCCCTAATTAAACCCATTGTTTTCTTTCAAGACAGTAAACAAAAGTCACTATAATTTGTGCCAAATGAGTTTTCAGACTTTAGTGGCTTGTAAGCCAGGGTCCCAGTGGCTAAGCTAGATTTCCTTATTCATGAGGATATCTTGTTTTATGGAATAGATGTACATTTTAAATACAAAATAGTCTCCTTTGGGAAATAATCATCTTCCTAATATATCTTTATACTTTCATTTACTGGATTTTTCATATACTGGGACGCACATTGGTACTAACTAGAAGCTATATGAAAAGATTTATAACCATTGATTTTCTAACCATGAATGTATATGGGGTAAGTGGGAGAAGATTCTGAATTTCTATGCTATTCTGTAAACTACCACACATATGCTAAATGTATGTATGTATGTATGCATAGTTATTTATGAATATTATATTCATATATTTAAAGATTTATCTGTAGATAGTGATCCATCTATATATAGTAATCTATCTATAGTTATATATCACTACATATTCATATATACTATATATGTATTACACACTATTATACGTATATATGAATGTTATGTGTGTATGTATACACATATATACATATGCATATGTATGTACATGTATATACATATCTCCAAGGAGATATTTGGGCCAGAGTTTATACATACATGTATATATATTCATATATAAATATATCATATATATATTCCTAAATACTATACTCATATATGTGTATATAAAAGTATTCTAACAGGGAGGTCTTCTGTAGGGCTACCAATTCCCTATATATATGTATAGATATATAGATATAGATATAGATATACTAGAAATATTCATATATATACACATACATATACATACAAAAATATATACTTACATAAATGCAATATATCTATACATATATATAAACATTCTAGCAATTAGAGAGGTCTTCTATAAGGCTACCACTTCTGTATATATATGTGTGTATATATATATGTATATATATATACACACACTATAAATAGTCACACATATGTGGATATATACACACACATATATATACATACACATATATAGATAATATATCTATACCTATATATAACTTTCTAGCAATTAGGGAGTTCTTTTGTAGGGCCACTATATATCATGTATGTGTGTATGTACACACTCAGATATACGCACACACAGATATATAGATATAAATAATATACCTATACATACATACTCTCTCTCTATATATATACACATATATATAAAATGTAGCAATTAGGGAGGTCTTAGAGGGCCATCACTTCCCGATACACACTATAAAAACCTTGGCCCAGATATCTCCTTGGAGATCATTTCAAGGTGATTTCAGAACATGGGAGAAGAGCCCCCACTAATCTCCGACTCTGAGGTATTGCCATGGCCTTGCCATAGCAAAGGCTATAACAGTATTGCACATTGTCATTCCCCCTTCCCATTCAAATGGGAACCCCTTGAGAACAGATATTGTGCTTTTGCCTTTCTTGACATCATCAGCTCTTAGCACAGTGCTTGGAACAATGTAAGGGTTTGATCAGTGATTGCTGAATGACTAACCTGGGTAGGCCTGAACACACTGAAAGGACTTGGCAACAGTGTGGCCACTAGGACCAGCCTAGCTCCATTCCAAGCTCATTAATCAACAGAAGACTGCCTAATGGGCAATGAATTTCAGGGCCTTTGCCCCTTAGGAAACTGTCTAGTGAAGCCTGGAGTGCCTCAGGGTGGGAATTACTTACCCTGAGAAAAATTTCAGATGTTCTTTAACTGTTGAAGAATGGCAAGGTGATGAGGGAATAGACTTTCTCTTGAACACAGAAATAAAATGGTAAAGTAAAAATGTTCTTCTTTCCACCTTTAGGAGCTTCCATTGTTGGTGTGAACTGCCATTTTGACCCCACAATTAGTTTAAAAACTGTGAAACTTATGAAAGAGGGTTTAGAGGCTGCCAGATTAAAAGCCCATTTGATGACACAGCCATTGGCTTACCATACTCCAGACTGTGGCAAACAAGGATTTATCGATCTTCCAGAATTTCCATTTGGTAAGATATGGGATGCTAACAAATACTCTATTTCAAGAATCAATGCAGCAAAGCTATTTGTGATCACTTTTTAAGTTTGTGATAATGCTACGAAGTAGATCAGTATTATAATTACCTCAATTTTTCTGAAGAAGGAAAATGAGACTCAGAATAAGTGACTCCCTTGGTCACTCAGTTAGTCGGTTTCAGAGGCAGGATTTGAAACCTGAATCTCCTAACTCCAAGTCCACTATTCTGTTCACTATACTATTGCTCCCTCCATCCTACCCCATCTCCATTTTTTTTCCCTTTAGCCAGGCCATGGCATTGGGTGTAAATGGAAAAAGACAGAAAAAGAAATATATTAGACTCGAATGAGGAATTAAAATAAGGTAAAAAAGTAAAATAAAGTCCAGAATGATTGCCAGAATATTCATCTTTTTGAAAAATATATCTTTCTTAGATCCTCTAGAAATCTAGGAGAAAAAAATATTAAAAAATATTACTGGGATAATTTTAATTCTATCAGACTTTGTGGTACAATAGGAGAAGCACTAGATTGGAATTCCAAGAACCTGGGTTTGAACTCCAACTTGGTTATTTATTACCTGGGTGACCCTGGACAAACTATTTAACCTTCCAGGACCTCAGCACCTTATCTGTAAAATGAGGGGATTGTGCCAGATGACCTGAAATCCTTTCCAACTCTAAATCTATGATCCTAAGGATGAAAAGTAATTTGTCATTGAATACTTCATAAATTTATGGCAGCTAGGTGGTACAATGGATAGAGCACCAGCCTTGGAGTCAGGAGAAACTGAATTCAAATCCAGCATCAGACACTTACTAGTTGTGTGACCCTGAGCAAGTCACTTACCTCTGACTGCCTCCAAAAATAAAAAAAAAATTAAAGAATTTGGTTTCAAGCCTTCCCAAATTCATTTGCAAAGGTCAAGAGGAAGGGGAACAGGGATAGAAAACATTACTTTGGTGTAGAACATTGCATATGAAGTATGTCATCTTTTTTCAATGTATTGATAGGTTTTTCTGATTTTTCTCCCCTTTCTCCTTCTTTCTCTTTTTTTCTAATCTTTATCACAAGGGATGGCTGTTAGGATGGAGGAGGGGGAGAAATATGGAAGAAATTTGAAATTATTTTCAATTGTTAGTCAAATATATTTGTCTAATGAATTTGTAATTCATTAAAAATGATTCTTCAATTATGTTTCTGGCTTTGGTAACACATTCCTTTTGAGCAACATGTGTAGATTTGTTTTTTAAATCAGATTTTTAAAAAAATTAATCTGATTTTTCGTCAAGATTTATCCTCATTAAGAATATTCTTGAAGTTAAAATAAAACCATTTCCATTACAGGTCTGGAACCCAGAGTTGCTACCAGATGGGATATTCAAAAATATGCCAGGGAAGCCTACAACTTGGGTGTCAGATACATTGGGGGCTGCTGTGGATTCGAGCCTTATCACATCAGAGCAATTGCTGAGGAGCTGGCTCCCGAAAGGGGCTTCCTGCCTGAAGCTTCTGAGAAACACGGCAGCTGGGGGAGTGGTTTGAGCATGCACACCAAGCCCTGGATTAGAGCAAGGTAAGTACGTTTTACTATCATCTCTTCCTCATTTTAAACTGGTTACAGGGTTCTGGCGACCTGGTCCGGCCTTGTATGCTAGAATTGACTCTCTGGGAAAGCAGTGGAGAATTTTTAAAGCTCCATATAAATGTGCCTTTTATATCTTAAGGTTGGTTCTACATTAATTAGATGATCATAAGAAGTTGCTGCCATTTTTTCTCCCCTTTACCAGGCCCAAGTTATTTCATGGAACCATTTTCATAAAAGCTCCTTTAGGAAATGATGACTATCAAAGACTTCAAGGCTGTTAGGCTTCTCAACAAGTCATAATTGAATGAGGTGATAGCACGCTCTGATACTGCCATGCCAACAGTGGACATTCGAATACTAATGGGAGTATTTGAGGTTATAAAGATTTGAGCATGATAAAAACCAGTTAATTTTTAAATACTTGGGGCCATATTGGGATCATAATTTAGAGCTGGAAACAATCTCAGAAGCCAGCTAGTCTACTCCACTACCCCCTCCCCACCACCAATTTTGCAGATGAGGAAAATGGAGGCCCAGGAAGATTTAAGCGCTAGTGTCCACAGGCGGGATTTGAACCAAAGTTCTCTGACTTTCCCTTGTCGTGCAAAGATCAACAAGAGAATAGTTATTCATTTTGCATTCTAATGTTCTACCCAGAATATTAGAAGGACTTTCCTAGAACTTAAATTTTTTAAGTCCAAGCCAACCACAATGATTAGGCTTCAACATGTTTTGGAGGTATGGACAATCTGGGGCTTAGGATGTATTGATATATTCATATGGCAAAACTATTACATTAATAGGAAATAGCTAATTAGATGCTGATTTTTGATCCCTGCATTTGTGTTAGAATTGCAAACCAATGTTTATTTAGAAAACAAATACAGACTTTTATCTGCCAACACCAGCAAATTTCCCTAAGTGTGTGTATGTGTATGTATGTGTATATGTGTATACATATATATACGTATACATATATATAATACACATATGTAGGCAAATTTGTGTGTGTGTGTGTGTGTGTGTGTGTGTGTGCATCACTACCTAAAACCTAGATCATAAAATAGATTCTTAAAGGCATACAAAAAACTCATTCCATCAACAATTCCTTTCCTTCACACAGGGCAAGGAGAGAGTACTGGGAATCTCTACCCCTGGCTTCTGGTAGGCCATATTGTCCTTCTATGACCAAACCTGATGCCTGGGGAGTGACCAAAGGAACAACTGAGCTAATGCAGCAGAAGGAGGCCACAACTGACCAGCAACTGAATGAGCTGTTTCACAAACAGAAATTCAAATCTTCAATAGCCTAATGTAATGTGTATACTTGTATATTTGGGGTGCATTAGCACTCATAATTTGCAGGCTTGCTCTCAAATTAAATACAAATGGAACCTTAAAAACAAAAAACAAAATATATTTTTGAAGTTTACTTATCAGTGACAATGGGGCTTTTCTCATTTCTTTGGTGACACTTTTGAAGAGATGATTAAATTGCTCTAGGAGACTAAGTATAAGGAAATACATGCAGCAACTGAATAGGTTTGTGTTACTATCTTTTGGATTATATTAATTATATCTAATAATGTCTAATTTTAATTCTTCCCTCTCAATCTCTCTGACCCACCTTCTGCATGGGTACTTGGGATGTATCTGGAATAGAAAAAAAAAATCTCTAAACTTTCAGAGGCCAACTAGTCCAAACCTCTCATTTAACAGATAAGAAAACTGAGTTCTGCTCTGGGATTTGTAACCAAATTAACACTACCCTTCCTGGTAATGATCAATAAATTGTCCTATGATGCCACTTAGCATACTCTTGTCTTCCCTGACCAAAATATTCCTCCCCTGTCCACCATCTCTTTATTAGAATGTAGGCTCCGTGAGGGCAGGGACTATCTTGAATCTTGTGTTTGTACCCCCAGCACTTAGCACAATGCCTGGAATGTAGTAAGTAATTGATAAATGCCTTTTAAAAATTCATTTATTCACTATACCATGGTATTATATTGATACATACGTAACTTATATCAACAGTACTTATGACACCAGTTCCCCTTGCAAGCCTGCAGTTCACAAAATTTAAAGAAAGTTTTATTTAAAGTTAAGGAAAGGAAAATGGCACTCGCCAATGAGCAGACAGTCACATATTAGGTAGGGTTCCCTGCAAGCCCTGCATGGTCTGTTTCTTAGTGTAAGGCTCAGTCTGTAGTTCTTGCAACTCCCAGCAGATGGCAACAGTGCCCCCCATTACATTTGTAATAACTTGGGACCAGCGAGATTGACTTGGTGATTTGCCTTTAGAGTTTGACAACACGTTAAAAAATTATAGCAGCAAGCTAGTTGATGCAGTGGATAGGGTGTTGGACTCAGTCAGGAAGAATGGAGGTCAAGTCTATCTGCTTTTACAAACTTTAAAGCACCATATAAATATTACTTATTATTAATACATTAAAACTATACCAGTTTCTCCATCTACAAAAAAAATAGGCATGCCACTAAGCTACACACGATACAGAATCTTACATATTTCTACAGGGAGAGGTAATGTAATTTAAGGTACATAAGGATTTCCACGAGAAGCAACATGGCAAAATGGATAGACAGCCAACTTTGGAGTCACCAAGAACTGAGTTCAAATCCTATCTCTCATGCCTAGAGTGTGTGACCCTAGGCAAGTCATTCAACTTCTTAGAGAGCTTAAACTTCAGGAAAATTGTCCATCTGTATTAATAGAAGGAATTCCTTGTGCCAATGAAATCACAGATATGAACTAAAAAGGATTTCTGCAGTTTCCATAATAATAGCTAACTATCTTTTGGATTATATTAATTATATCTAATAATATCTAATTTAATTCTTCCCTCTCACAGTGCTTACTATGTGCCAGGTACTATTCTAAATTCTTTTCAATTATCTCATTTGACCTTCACAACAGTCCTACAAAGTAGGTGCTATTATCCCTATTTTACAAATGAGGAAACTGAGGCAAACAGATTAAGTGACTTACACAAAGCTAGTAAGTACCTGAGGCTGAATTTGAAGAAGAATATATTTTCCCCAAGGGACAGCTAGGATAGGACAGTAGATAGGATACTGGGCCTTGAGTCAGGAAGATTCCTTTTCCAAAGTTCAAATCTGGGGCAGCTAGGTGGCACAGTGAATAGAGCTCTGGCCTTGGAGTCAGGAGGACCTGAGTTCAAATCTAGCCTCAGACATTTAACACTTACTAGCTGTGTGACCCTGGGCAAGTCACTTAACCCTGCTTGCCTCACTGAAAAAAAAAAAAGCAAAAAGCAAAGTTCAAATCTGACTTCAGACACTAACTAGCTATGTGACCCTGGACATGTCACTTCACCCTGTTTGCCTCAGTTATTTCATCTGCCAAATGAGCTAGAGAAGAAAATGGCAAACCACTCCAGTATCTCTGCCAAGAAAACCCCAAATGGGGTCATGAAGAGTTGTACACAACCTAAAAGAATGAGGAACAACACATTTTAACCCTATACACAGAAGAAGTTTATGAACAGAACCTTTAGAAGACGTATTAAAGTGGAATAAAATGAGACTGGCCACTGTGGAGCTGTGAAGGTGTTGGGGGGACAGAATAAGCATTTATTAATCACCTATTATGTGCCAGGCAGTGAGCTAAGTGCTTTACAAATATTAACTATTCCACAGCTCTCTAGGAACATAGCTAGGCTTCTGAATCATAGTCGTAAGTCAGCACTGTCCTTAATCCCCACCCAACTCCATCTTCCTGGATGAATTTGACATCCAGCTCTCTTCTTGTACTTTCTCAAATCAGATTCAAAATTTTCCCCATATGAGCATCATGGCAAATGAGAAATATTTTCCATTAACAATATTTTGCCATGTTAATATATCCATCGTGCTATGCCCTAATTGGCATATCACCCCCAAAATATTTTGAAGTCTAATCACTATTGTTGTTGTTAAACTATGTGCTCAAAGAGAAATTTTTAAATGTTAGATAATTTTTAAAAAATGAACATTGAAACAATTTTAAATTCAGCTAAAGATTCTGGCAAAGATTTCATTGTAAAGACAGACTTGATTGCATAGTATCTAATACTGTATTGATTTTAAAGATTTTTTTTTTACTGAAAATTTTTCCCTTTAATAGAAAAAGTAAGTGTATGGAACTTGAAAATATTTCATTTCCTACTGTAGAATATTTTTTCTTTCTCATTTTCTTATCTGTTGACTTTTTTTTGGTCTCCTTGTTTTTCTTCCCTGATCTAAAATTGGGTTTAAGCCCCTGCTCTGCCACTTACTAGCTTGGACTTAACTTGGACAAGTTGCCTTCCTTCTTCCAGCCTCAGTTTCCTCATCTGTAAAATGAGATGTTAGCCTAGTTGTGTTTGAAAGTACTTTTCAGCTCTAACATTCTCTGGTTCTACAACAAAAACTTGGTCTCCCTTTATCTCTTTTGCTCTATATATCTGCTTCTTATTCTTCCCTCATTCTCCCTTTTTATTGCGGTTCAGTCATTTTTAAAAATTGTGTCCCACTCTTTGTAACTCCACTTGGGGTTTTCTTGGCAAGGATACTGGAGTAGTTTGCCATTTCCTTCTCCAGCTTATTTTACAGATGAGGAAACTCAGGCAAACAGGTTTAAGTGACTTGCCCAGGGTCACACAGCTAGTAAGTATCTGAGGCCAGATTTGAACTCAGGAAGATGAGTTTTTCTGATTCCAGGCTTAGCATTCTATCCACTTAGCTATTTTAATTTTCCTTTCACTTATTCAAATTGCTAACATGTAAGTACACAGTCACCTCCCTGAGGACAATTAATCCTTGATCCGTCACATCTGGCAGATACCAGGCACTTAATAAATACTATTGAATTGAATTGAATGAAAATGATGTGTTCAAATCCTTAGACCACTTATCAATTGGAGAATGGCTCTTTTGCTTACAAATTTAAATCAGTTCCTAATACACCTTGGAAATTAGGCCTTTATCAGAGAAATTGAGTACAAAGATTTTTCTCAGTTGATTGTTTCTCTTTTGATCTTAGTTTTATTAGATGTGTTTGTGCAAAAATTTAAATTTTGTGTAATCAAAATTATACATTTTGTCTTCTGTGAGTCTATCCCTTAATTGATCATGAACTTTTTCCCTATACATAGATCTGACAGGTAGTTTTTTTCACCATATTTCTTTCACTTGTTTGCGATGCTACCTTTTATATCTAGGTCACATATCTGCTTTAGCAGCTATATATTCATATCTTCTATGATTTTCAAAGACATTTTGGTTGTTATACCTAATTTTTTGCTTCCTGATCCTACGATCCATGACTCCATGAGAGCAGAGAAGCTTCTGCTAGGCATTACACTGGGCTATGTACCAACAAGTCAACAAGCATTTATTGATTACAACCTGCCAGGTGTATGGGGTGTTCAGGGAGGACCAGTACCTTTGGTGTCAGGGCTTGCCGAGTCCTTTTCAAGGCTGCTCATCCACCTTTGGTGTCCACCTTTCCACCCATTCTCACCTGTGGCTCCAAAAAACTGTAGCATATACAGTGGCCACACCCCAGTAAAATCTTGGTAGATTGGCTAAACCAGATTGAGGGTAATCAACAGGCCTCAAACCTGTCAGCAAATTAAGGGCATGAAGACTTCCCTGGGCAGAATAAGCAGATAAGAACAATTTGTTTCAAGGACCACAAAGGCAGCTAAAGCAGATGCTGTGGGGTACTTATAGCTTGGTCAGACATCAAAGATGCCAAGGGCATCCACTGCAGCTCACAAACAATGACAGTCATCCGGACTTTTGCCCTGCCACTGGACTTCAATGACTCTGGAAGAGAGAGTAAGGCTGATGACTTCATGTGATTCTGCCCCACCTAGATCCAATTCACCCATGAGTCAAGATATCACCCTGTGATGTCATTGGTCCTCTTTGAAAACAAAGGACAAACAACAACGACAATCTGCCGGGTACTAAAGTTGTTGCTGGGACCAGAGAATTAGAAGTGCACTTTTGATGTGGAAATTCCAGCAAACTGAGCATCTTGTGTCTGCATTGTCCCAGGTGCTGGGAGAACTTCAGCTTTGACTGTGGACATCTAGATGTAAACTAAGGTTTATCCCTGAAGATCAAATTAAAACGCAGTCTGTCACCCTTGGGGGTGAGATATGGGCAACTATAAAACCCTGATCCTTGTGTTAAAAATTAGTTAAACTGGGAATAATCTGTGTCCCTCTAATGGCCCATGGGTAGACATCTATGTGTATGCACTGTGGTGAAAGATATTGATTTTCTAAATGGCTTTGTAGATGACTGACTACAGGGCAGATGTACCAGGGAGAAGTCAGGGGGAAAGGAGATGATCTCAAGGCCTCAGTTAAAGAAGGAAGAGCCCCTTTTGCCTTTGCTGGTGACCACGGAGCCTCAGCTTTATGTTCTGGCATGTCAAAATTGGCCACAATATTTTGTGAGTAGGGACTATGGGAAGGGACTATAGTTTTATTTATCTCTCTAGTGCCTAATGTAAGATACAGTCTCTTTAAGGTGTTCACCTTTCATATGGAGCAGTTTGATGAAGGTCATATGTGAAGAACAGAGAGAAATCAATTTGGTTAGATTGTGGACTGTAGAAGGGAAAGTAATGTCCAATGAGGCTGGTAGGAAAGGTTGGGATCAGATCATGAAAGGCCTTAAAAGCTAAGCAGATACCTATTGATAAATGGTCAAAGGCTATGAACAGGCAGTTTTCAGAAGAAGAAATCAAAACTATTAATAGTCACATAAAATGCTCTAAATCATTAATACTGTA